CAGCAAACGGAATAAATAAATAAACCAAAACAACGATTCGCCCCACCATTCTGATCATATATGTTCATACCTGTATGTATACAATGTATACTACTTGTATATACATATGTACCATCTTCTTCCTTCAATTAGTTACAAATTTACACACTTAAAACAAGATAACGTTACCGTCTTCCGGAATGTTACGAAAATAATATCAGTCAGCATTTTTCACTAAGAATATGAAGAGGAATTAAAATTCAATTAAAATGTTCTGCGATAATTAGAATCCATCATGGTTTTGCAAAGCTAGAACCAACACGATGATGATGATGATTAAAAAATACGATCAGGTATGTTCCCGTTTCGGGGGAAAAAAATAAAAAATTAGTGAGTTATTCGGTTTTAAAAGCACGGATTCGGAAAGGTTGTTCTCCTTTCCTTCTATGTTTCGTTTTTTGATTTTTAAAAAAATGTAACTTATATTTTTCAATGCAATTAAATAGTCGTAACTGAAACAGTTTACTTTCAAATAATGCTGATTTTTCGGTAAATGAAATTGAATAGGTTTCATTATTATTAAATACAAAGAGAACTTAATATGATTTTAATATTGAATGAAATCAAACTTGCCTTTTTGACTGAGTGATGACATTCAATATACAATGTACGCCTGTATGAACTATCTGTATTTTTCCGGTGACATGACATAACGTGACATAACAAAATTTTAATACCATTTAAAATACCATTTAACCTCTAGTTAAAAGGGGATTTTATATATTAGCAATCAATGACCTTAAACATTACAAAACAAAAAATACTGCATATTTTTATGTCACTGCTTATTTTATGCAGTCATTTTTATTTGATATAGTACTTCAATGTTGCGTTAATTATATGTACTTTATAATTTTATGCCTTTGATCTGCTTTTACAAGCATTTCATTTTGATTTGGTAACTTTGAAGGGGTTTATGTCCGAAAAAAAAACGGACATAACGCCCAAATTATTTTCGGGCGATAAGTCCTCGGGCGTTATGTCATGTCACCATTGTTCCTTTTATTTTCTAATTTTCTGGGTATGTCTTGACTTATTTAGTATGAAAAGTATTCAAAAATATAACACATAATAAATTAAGTTTCGGAATACAAAGTCTTAAGTGCACATATGTATATTTTATCAGCTGCATAATTTTCATGTATATAATATCGTAATTAAAATATCCTGAGCATATTCGACGTACATATTCAAACATTGAATACTTTTTGACTGCGGAATCAGTGCCAAATGAGCGAAAGTAGAAGTAGTTTACTTCTACGACTTTTTTATTTCATTCTCTTCTCCTTAAATGGCATAGGCTATCGCAATCTCCTTAAAAAAGACTTGTAGCACGATTTTATAAATGCGTTTATTCATAAGTTATAAGTCACGGCCGTTTCTAACTCGTTTACAGCAACAACAGGAATGAATAATTTACATATCGATAACGCAGCTATCGTAGTTGATCTTATGAACTAGTTCGTATGAGCAAAGTCTTACAAACTAAATCACAATAAGAATAAAATAAACACAACTGCAATTTCGTTTACAGAAATAAAATCTTCAAACGGCCAAATAATTCTTTGCACTGAACGGTGTCAAGTAAATCTCAAACAAATGAAATCAAATAAAATCTTAAAAGTATAAATCTAAGTAAAAATATTCCCTAAGACTAAATTCAGATTTGCAGTTGATATTTAAACTGATACTCGCACACTAAAGTGATTGACTCTAGCGGTGTTTTTTATTGGAACGCAAATAGCTAAATCGTGTCAATACCGTCTGCTAATGACTTCGCCAACAGAGACCATAAAACCAAATCGGACTATCTATCAGGGGCGGCCATTGTAGTTCAGTCACGGCACATCGGTTGGCATCGGGCCCCACTATAGAGTGTGACGCACGGCTGACCAGCACAACCCACTAATTAAAACCGCTTTCCTTAATTTGTACGTGCATTATATTTCTATAAATACATTTGCAGGGGCACATACCTAACTAACAAACATAGCCATTACAAAGCTTTGTGTACTATTAATGTATGTATGTGCATGTGTACATATGTATGTTTGTACAAGTATGTGCATGTATGTGCATGTGTCTGCTTGTACCAAAAATGTTTGTTAACATATTTTTCATGTCCACATTTTTGTAATTTCATTCTGATGGCTGGGACACATTTTTTGATCGGTACACCGCTAATTACACTCACAATGTTAATATTATTTGGTTTGACTCAGACACGGAATTTAAATATAATATTCATATTATAACAATTATTTAGCCATTTATAATTTAAGCAAAAAGGGCTCTAATGTGTTGTACTTGTATTTTAGTTTGTTTTTTTTTATGTTTCATACATGTACGAATGTTTACAATAATTACATAATATGCAAAGCGTTGTAAAAAAAAACACTGTGCAAATTATTAAATAATATTCGTAATGAATTTTCACACCCTTGCAAATTTCAATAATTAAATGCGGGCAGGTGGGAGACTTCCAGGCAGAAATAAATCATCATTGTAATCAAACAAGCCATCAATTAATATCAGATCCAGTTACCATAAATGACCTCCGCCCAGCACCATAAAGTTACGTACTTGTGACCTGCACTTTATCTGACTGATTTTAAATAGTATCTTTCTACATACGTACTATATAAGTCCCTTTTTAAGGGGCAGTTTAATTTTCCAAAATTGAAATCATTTCAATAACTACTTCATTCATTTATTTATGTTACATACATTTATATCACGAGCATTCGAAAAATGTCTGTAGGCGCCACTCTCAGGCTGATTTTGTACGTTTGTGAATATGAAATCAATTTTCAAAATCATAATTTTTCAAAAAATTCGATAATACATAAAATACATATGTATAGTATTGTAGTTCAATAACATCATAAATCAAATGTATAATTATTAATTATTAAAATTATTTTATTGGCAATTTTTCGACAAAATTTAAAACTGCGCTCTATCTTTTGTTTGGACATTTCTTGATTGAAACAATAAATAATCGTTAGCGAAATACATAAAATATGCCCCTTTTCTCGCAGGTCCTCCTCCTCCAAGGCTAAAAATGTATACTTCGAATTTATATTTCCCTAAGCGGAATCTAAATTGGTCGGAATATTCTTAAAAATCGTGAAGGGCTACTAAAGTTTGATACATGAATGTGCGTGATCGTGAACTCTAAATTCCTAGTCCTAGTCTTGCCCTTGGCTCCAGCCAGATCAGACCACTATTTAGCTTAAGTGATGCTTGGAAAAAATATTTCTTATTCGTGCTATTCTTTGTTCTGGGCTTGGACAATTACTACATTTTATGTGAAATCTTACTTCGATATCATGCTTCTGGGCTGATGATTGCGGCGTGGTTCGAGCCCAAAGAACCTATTCTGGAACATACTCAAATCGTGCGAATAGCCCTAATTCGTTATAGACATATTGGATCTTAAATAAGAAGTGCGCTAGCATTTTGATGAGCAATAACTTTTCCTCATATAGCCGAGCGGGTAAATATTTTGAAATTTTGGCTTGTATTTCATATTCTTTAAGCTTTACAATACAGAATTGCATTTCAGTTTCTGAAAGAGTAGTGTTTTGAAAAAAAAAAACAATATCTCTTTAGCTTTTTGAGATTAACGGTTTTTCCAGCGTTGTCTGTCTTGTCCTAGCTGTCAGCAATTGGTAGCACCAAGACTACTAAGGGCCACCATAACTTGCTATTTCCAGTGCTGACACCGTCGCCCTCTTCTGCGTTGACCACCAGCCGAGTCCGAATTAAATACCTTTTTAGCTGGAGCACTGTCATCCATGCGGACGATTGTACCTGAATACGCTTGACTACGTCAATGTCACCGGATAGTTCATACAGCTCAGGGTTTATCCCTATTTGGAAAGCACCTAGTGTCGCCTTATCCGATGTCTTCAATATCCACGCTTCAGCGCCGTAAAGAAGCACACGCAAGATAAGGAACTTGTACAGAGTCTGTTTCAAGACACGGATCTACCCATGAATAGCTTACTGAGCACAGGTCAGAGAGATTATCCGTTGGCGAATCTCCAAGCTGGCATTACATTGTTGCTGGTGCTGGTTCCTAGAGAACAACTTCTACTACTTGAAAGTCGTAGCTACCTATTGAGTCCCTGTTTCCAACAGGCCACGTCTGTGTACTTGTAGATGGGAAGTATGTTGTCTTGCCAAACTCATGTTTTTCGACTCTCTCTCTCAAAATTTTTGAGAAATCTCCGCTCACTGTGCGTACGTTAATGCCAATGATGGAGCTAACCATGGACCAGCATTATTATATCCATCCTGCAAATGTAATTGGTACAAGATAGCCATATAGAAGGCAGCCTTGCCAAATCATTGGTTATAAGTACACACGATTTTCGTTTTATTTAATTTGATTCAGAACATTAAACAAATTTTCTATCCGCCCTTCCAACTATCAGTAAGCACACTGCACTCTCAAAAAAATGTTTATAATACCATTTTTAAAATCTACATTTCCACCCGTAAAATATAAATATTGAAACTGTCGAAGTATTTTCATACATAAAATTTATTAGGAGTTATGAAAATGATCCAACATAAATAAAAATTTCAGAAACGGTGAAGATTAGCAGACAATGGAAGGCTTTTATATTGAATAAAAATAATTATAAATCATTATAAAGAAAATGTTTTCCACGCTGTTACCTAATGTATCATTTATGAGGAATACCTGAACACCCATCTTAAACTACAGGCTGTGAACTTTCAATTGGAACCAATATACATATATAGTAAGTATCTAATTCTCGGAATTTTCTGAAAGAAAGCCGATGACAATTATATCAGTTCTCGAGAAAATAATTATACAAACCCATGAAAAGCCGTATTTACTCCATTATTTGAGCAGTAACATTTAATCCAATACCGTAAATATTAGCCGAGACATGAAACGAAATAAATTTCCAAAATACCAGTTGTGGGATTACAAAGATTAATTTTTATTAAACAAATCAAAATTGCATTAGGCTACATAATTATGTGTTCATAGAGTCGACATACTATATTTTATTTTTAGTCTAGTAAACAATGTAAAGTGTATCACAGCTTAAAATCTTAAAACTAAAATTAAATATTCGCGATTTTACAATGCAGTTACAAAAAGAATCTTGTCAAGTGTTAAGCCTAAGTAAGTGTAGATTAAGACAATATATTTATATATACTTGTATATAGTAAGTTACTTGCGGCAAATTGTATTTGTAGGTATTTTTATTTATAAATAATTAGTATTACACATTTTTATGAAATTTGTTGCACGAGCCCCAATGGCCAGTTAGTTTATTCGTGTCTCTGATCTGCATTATATAGAAGTCATATTTTAAGTGTTCAGCTCTTTCCCCCAAATAGCAGAAACTTACCAGAGTTCTCCGATTCGCGGACACAATTAAATCCAAGTATGCATGCATGCTCAGGTCTTGGTCTCTAAACAGGAGGCACGAAACCGGCAAGCGATACTTGGTCTCTGTAAGACAGTCGGAAAGGTCTATGAAATACTATATGTTGCTAGAAGTGTGCTGGGCTGGGGGGGTACCTCTTGAACAGCGGCTTGAACATGTTCTCGTTATGCTGCAGCTGAGGAGACAGGGAGCTGCTGCTGCCACTGGAGCAGTCGTCCCTGGGCGAGTACTCGCCATAGCGGGTAGAGAAATTCATCGGCATGGGGTAGCTGCAGGGTATGCCGAAGTTGTTACTGCTGCGACAAGTAGCGGTCGTAGGGGCTTGCGAAGCGATAGGCAGCAGACTCGAAGCTCCGTTCAATACCTTCATATTCGGCGGAGTTTGGGGTGGAGTATCGGGTTGGGCTTCGGGAAACCCCATCGCCCGCTGACTCGCTACGGGCTGAGACTGAGACTGATGCGGATGCGGATGCGGATGTGGTTGTTGGTGTAGGTGTGGGTGTGACTGGCGCATTCCCGGAAACTGCCCGACCAGCTGCTGGACTGGCGACGCCGCCAGCGACTGCGATTGCGAGCCCAGAGTCGCAGCGTTCGGATTTGCCGTAGGGATGGTAGGGATGGTAGGCGTATGTGTGCCGCTGGAGCTGTTGCTGCTGCTGGTGTTGCTGGTGTTGCTGATGTTGGTGCTGCTGTTGGGATTGGTGTTGTTGCTGCTCTGCAAATTGGGATTGTTGTACGGGGCATTGCTCGTAGTATGCAGCTGCTGCGTCGTAGCCCCTAGAAAACCCCCGTAGGCCGTAGTATGCGCCCTTAAATAGGGTGCTCCGCTGAAGGTATGGCTGCCCATTGCCAGCGACTGTTGCTGCTGCTCTTGCTGCTGCTGCTGCTGCTGCTGCTGTTGCTGCTGCTGCTGAGTCAGATTCATGGTCATGCCCAGGCTGCTCTGCTGCGATAGGCGCTGCACCTGTTGCGACTGAGGCAGGAGCTGGCCGGGAACCGCCTGGCCCATGTACGCTGGTGGGGGTGTCTTGCAGGCGACTGTGTCGGCCAAACTCCAGATTTTGGGCTTGGTAGCTGGAATTGGCACGCCACAGTTCCGGCCGAGCTGGTTTTTTGGATCGCTGTGCTCGTTGCCATGTTTGTTGTTGTTGCCCAAGCCACCATCAGAGCCGGCATGGAATCCAGCGGGCAGCATGGTCTGCTGAGGCGCTTGGTAGTAGGCGGCGTGCTGGTGATGATACGGGTGATAGCTAGCCGGATGGCCACTGCCAGCGCCGCCATGATAGCTACCTGAGCTGTAGCCAAAGCCGCTGCGCAATATATTCGCTTGACCAATCGACTTTTGATCCTCGTCGGTCAGTTCGTCCTCATCTTTGGGCGCATCTGTGCCACGAAACAACCAAAGCTCTAATATAACAATTATAGCAATCAACTGAAGTTTGGAGAACCCGAACCTGGGCTACAGAATTATCAAACATTTTGGTTTAATCAAATAACAAAGTAAAAGTTCCTGAAAGGGAAAGTCCCAAGAAACTAACTGCGAAGAATTCAACTGTCCTGCTAAATTTGTAGATGTCTAGATCTAGAAACTTGTCTGCAGAAAAAAAGAATCATTGTAAATGTCTTATCTTTCTACTGTCTTGCTGAAATTGTAGATGTCTGTCTCTAGATCTAGAAACTTGTTATTTCGAGTCTGAAGGAAAAGAAGAATCATTTTAAAATATCTTACTCATCGTACAATGTATGAGATATTGTACTTTTTTGGCGCTACTATCTTATCTTAATTGTTTCCTTCTGAAAGGGCTATCGAACCTTTTCTTGCACTCGCAAAAATTCCACGAAATCAGTTAAAAAGCAATATTTTTGGAGCATATTCTTATAATTTTTTTTATGTTTCGAATCGCCTTTGAATTCCATAGAAAAACTGGTAATACTTTTCGTTATTTGAGGAATTCCTGAGAAATCAAGCAAAGAAGAAGAAGGATGGCTTTTTTATTGATAACTGTTTAAATACTGCTCTCTACAAATACAGATAATCATTCCTAACGCTATAGTATATCATCTATCGCTCCTTTCCACTTGTATAAAAATGGTTACAAAACTAGTGTTCAGGTTCTCCCAGTGTGAAAGGTAAGTTCTAGTAATAATTACCTTTGGCCAAACCTGTGCCCTGCGCACCTTTATTCGATTCCACATCCTCCTTATCCTTCTCATCGTCCGAGACCAAAGCATCATCATCATCGTCTGTGCGATTCTTTGGCTCCCAAGTCATCTTGTTCTCCTTTTTCAGACGCCGGCGAGCATTGGCAAACCAGGTCGAGACCTGCGTCAGCGTCATCTTCGTTATAATGGCCAGCATGATCTTCTCGCCCTTGGTGGGGTACGGATTCTTCTTGTGCTCGTTCAGCCACGCCTTCAGTGTGGCCGTGGACTCACGTGTGGCGTTCTTGCGCCGCGCAGCCAAATCATAACTGGCCCCATAGCTGGAAGAGCGTAGAAAACTGGTTAGTAATTTGCCAGAACATGCGTTCGCCTCTAATTGAAATGCGAAGCGAAACGCCACAAGATGAAGGAGAGGGGAGGGGTGGGGAGGAAAACGCGCAAAACATGAAAATTCATTAAAATACGAAAAATGGAAACTGATGTTTGCTTATCGCTGCCACCGCCACCGCCACAACCACCCGAACCACCCGGTGGCACCCTCGACCCATCGACGCGTCGGCGGCGCCTCGAGTGCGGCACTGCGTCAAAATATTGTAAAACACAGTTGTGAAACAGCGCACGGAAACAAAAAGCAACAACAAGCAGCCGCAAAAACGAAAACAGATATGAGCACAACGATGAGGAAAGTGTCTGCACGACTATGTGTGTGTGTGTGCGTGAGTGCGTGAGTGTGTGTGTGTGTGGGTGCAAGCCGCCGGCTGCACTGCAGCAGCAGCAGCAGCAGGAGGAGCAGGAGCAGAAGTAGAAGCAGCAACTAAACAACAACTCCTGTCTGTGCACGCTTTTATCCTGTCGTTGCAGCCAGCCTGGCAGGCAGCCAGCGGCTCACTTCCAATCCCATCCACTGATCCCAGCTAGCCAGCTCTGGGGTACGTTCGGCCAAAGTTGCTCCAGCTTCAGGATTAAGCTGCGCCGCCCTGGCGCATGCCCCTCAACTCTACGTGTCGACGCAGCGTCCGACAATCCACTTTCATTTCATTTTTTCTCTCTCGTCCCTTTCGAGCTCTTTTTGTGTGTTGCCAGCCCCCCTCCACCTCTTTCCACACCCCCTCCCTTTTTTTCTTTTTGTAAAAAATTTTCATGGGATTTTTATGGTGCCGCAGAATCAACAGATTGTGCGGTGAATTTTACAACAAGATGAAGAAGGAAACTTGTGTTTGTTGCCTGTGTGTGTGTGTGTGTGATGGAGATTCGTTATTGCTGTTCTTCTTCTTGTTATTCTTGTTGTTGTTGCTGTCCTTTTTTTGCCTTGTTCGGCATTGTTGTTGGTACAAAATAGAGCCTTGATTTTTTATGCAGCGTTGAAGTTGATGTTTGCATCTTTTTACTGTTTTTTTGTCTTTTCTTTCTGTTTTGCCTGCCACAAGGACGTTGCCCAGTTCGCTTTGGTGCGTCCTCAACTCCATTTTTATTAGCGACTGTTCAGTTTTTTCTGCTCTTCTTCCACTTTGGTGCGATGCGTTTATTGCATCTTAAATAGAAACCGTTTCCACTTTAAAATTAAAGTGCAATAAAACTGTCTCAGTGAGCGAGGAAATTCTATATTTGTGTTCCTAAATCTCCCTTATTGACAAACAACTATACTTAGTAAAATTTTTAAAATTACATATTTACTTTACTTTTCTTGACACTGAATCAAAAGTTAATCTATTAAGCAACTGAACGTAATAAAAAAAAATGTGAAAAAATTACTGTTTAGAAAGAACAGATTCACTGAAGTTCTCTGAATAATTATTGGAAATAATTATGAGATATGCCATAGGCGTAATAATTGAAAAGAAAACCTCCAGCCCGCTATCGGCGCAAAAGCAAGAAAAACTCAGTACTAAACGTCATATTTTGTAATTTAATTTAATGCAAACTTTAAAAACACTCTTTAATACTTTTTTGTTTTGGTTTTTGAAAATTACATATCAAACAATATACAGACTTAAAGCAAACACAAACAAAAATCAAATATAAGATACATCCTCCAGTGTTGTAGGTAAAGAATAGAACAAGTTTTTTTTAGGTAACGTAACAACAATTTCCTAATAAATAAAATGAATGCACTACTTTAGAAACTCTTGAGTAAATTTTACATATATTTAATAACAGTGTTATTTAAAAATTGCAAGTTTAAAATTAACAATAAATCAAGGACACCAACAAACAAAAACTATACTCTATATTTATATTAAAACGCACAACTATGGCTATGATTTTTAAGTAACTCTATAAAAGCCATGTGGCTTCGTTGCCATCTTCAACGTTTTTAAAAAACTATGTCTCCATTATTAAAACCTACAAGTATTAAAATTAGAAACCTACTTTATGGGATAGCTGCCTATCGCAACATTTTCGGTGAAATTTAATAATATTGAAAAATACTAACATAGAGGACGATGCGGTATAAATTCAAAGAACAAAATACTACCTTTATACAAGCAAATTTACTTGAGAATAAAAGAGCTTTCATTGAAGGTATAATTGACATCACATTTGAATATTACAATATTTGAAGAAAACAATAATAATAATAACAATATTAAAAGAAAAAACAGTGCATAATATGTACATATATGTAAGGCTGAAATGGACAATAAAATAGGACCAAATAATACAAAAAAAAAAAATTCGTTACGAGATATCTTTACTAATTATAGCTAATAATAAAGCATTAAAAGTTATTCCGTGCTTTCTCAAGAGAAGAGAGAAGAATGTGTAATATGGTTAGTGTAAGCACGCAGCAGATAAAGACGACGTTTGTTTCCAAACATAATCAAAATACATATACACATACACCTATCCATGTGTAGAATCTAATACTGGAAACCTTTGAATGAAACCAATCACCTATTTTGTCTTCTTTACACGGTCTTTTTTACACGGATTTTTCTAAAACTAATCTACCGTGTAAAACCAGAATTAGGTGTATAATAGTAATTTAAAATAAATCCAAACACATTAAATTCAATATATATCTAATATTTTATTGTAAGGAAAATGTACTTTTTCTGATTGGTCTAGGAGTTGAATTTGTTTAACGAACCTTTATAGGCCTTATCTATGCTTAGTATAGGACGGTCATGGTCATCCACATCCGATCGCCGAATGACCATCCATTTGCATCCGTGCGGCCAAACAAACAATCCAGCGGTACGAAACCGACAATTACCTACACGTACATAGATATGTGCATTGTAAGTCGTACAGATCTTACAATCTCTGACCATGGTCTATCATTATCGCGTAGGCTGGTAAGTTAGTTGGCTGGCTGGTAACCAGTAGCGATTGCGGATACGAGCAAACGATAAGTTTAGTGCGCTTTTGTTTTGCCCTGTTCTATAATTTTCCGAAACCCCCGTTTGTTCGTAATTACCACGCGTTCTCGACCAACTACATATATATACGAATATACATGTATGTATGTGTGTGTGTGTGTGTGTGTGCCTGCTGCAAAATGCGAAAACCAACAATAAAAACATAAATAAAAACAAAAAGAACATGCCTCTGAGCGGGCGGTGGGTCTATGTATAAAGCAGCCCATAATCTTGTTAACAAATCACATTCTTGTTCACACAAAAACAACAGCAACAACAAAATCAACAGCAGAGCGGAGTGGCGGTGAGAAGCGAAGAGGAAGGCGACGCTGCTGGGCAGATCCAGCGGCCGCTTGCGCCGATAATTAGTTTTAGTGCAGTTTACATACATTTTTCGTTTTTTTTTCGCTTTTTTTATATACTTTTCATGAACATGCCAGCTTCAAATATGCAATTTAGTTGCAGCTACCAGCAATCGTTGTTGCTGCCTGTTATTATTGCTCCTTCTGTTGTTGCTGTTGTTGTTGTTGTTGTTGTCATTATCTGCGAGTAGCAATTTACAGCAATGAACACATTTTAAACAAATAATGCCAAACACGCCAAATGACACTGACGGCCGTCCCGTCAAGTTGAGCGCCAAGCAGGCATGTCCGAACCGTCCCTCCGTCCCTCCGTCCGTCCGTCCGTCCGTCCATGTTGGCAATTACGGCGCCTAACTCGCCAGCCGGCCCCTCCCCCTCCTTTGACCAGCTGTGTGGCACTAAACAAAGCGCAATCGCTGGTCTGTTACACATTTTTGTCAACCGTATTTGCGCGCAATATGGCGGCCAACATGGCGTTCGTTCGCTCAGTCCGACGCTCACTCATGCACCCAGCCACTGCCCCGCCCCCCGCCCACCCTCTCACACCGTCTCACTCCCTCTCACCCACCTACAAGTACATGCATTCATTCACTTAGTTGCAAGTCCGTCGACTTCATGGGCTTGTCGCACGCAAGCTGCAATGTCCATTGGGGCAGTCGCCACAACCGCAAAGTCGCAGTCGCAGTCGCTGCCGCCGTTGCCGTTGCCGTTGCATGTCTGTCCACCCTGTCCACCACTCCGCCCCCCCCAAGTCTGTGCGTGCCTCTTTGTCTGTATGTTTTCATACATACAAGTATGTACATACATATATTTGTGTGTATGTGCTTGTGTTGTGTGTAGTGTAAATGCGCACTGGCGTGCAATTAACTGCGATTATTTCCGCCGCAATCATAAATAAATAATTTCGCGCGCTCTCACAATTTTCACAATTCAAATATATCGTCGCCCGCAATCGCCAGAGACGCCACAATCCCCAGAGTCGGACACTCGGCAGCTCCCAGCAGCGGGAGCCACGCACCCAGCCACCCGCGCTCGAACAATTAAACTCAAATCAATTTTAAGTACCCGCATATCTTTTGTAATTAATTATCGGCGAGCATTTGCATTTGACTCAAATAGCCCCCCACCCTTGGGCGCCCGCCCTTTTTTCCATCACTTCCGCAAACTAGACTAATTCGATTTCATTTGATTGTCGCAGTGTAGTGACAAACATTGAGAGCTGAGTCTATTTTGTTTTTTGATGCAAGCCCTGGGGCTGCGGAAATTTGCATTAAATTTTCTGCAAATCAATTTTCCCCAGCAATGATGAAAACAATGCATTTATTTCAGGGAATATTATGGTAGTTGAAAGGAAGCACCTTATACATATTTAACTGCTTTAGAATACAAATAAAATATTGAATTTAATACTAAACTATAGAACAAACTACTTCTTTGGCTACTGTCATATTTCACCCATTTCTAGCCAGCGCCACAAAAAACACTCATTAAAATAAATTGGAATTAAATTCGAGCTGCCTTATTAATATAACAAGTCGACCACACGTTCATTATTTTGACGCACTATTCCGCCTTAAATTGGATCTGAGTTGGATTTATTGAAGGTTTTCATTGATCGTATGCTTAAGTTATTTTTTAAATGCATCGTGCATTATTTAATCAAAATTTTAATTTTTTTGACACCCCCTTTGGAAAAAGCTGCCTACGCCCTTGGCCATTTGTGCACAAACAGCAAGCAACATAGCATGGGACCTGCTTGACACTGCTTGCTTAGGCACTAGATACTGAAACAGTTATTACACTCAAAAAAAAGCAAATCAAGTTTTCTAACCAACTTCAGTACTTTTTGTCCTGGGATTATTCTCGCAATTATCACAAAAGTTATTTTAATTTTAATTTTTTATTTTATTTAACTAATGTTAGTATTTTTTCTTCTTGACTCTTGCCATTTTAACGCCACCCCCCCCCCCCCCAAAAAAAAAAAAAAAATTACCGTATAATGTGATTAAAAACTTCAAAAAAAAAAAAATACAGAATGCCCGATTAATTAAATATATAAAAATCCGAAAATATCCTCAATATCTTCACGAATTATTATAATGTAATGGACAATTTTGATTTGTAAAACAAATAAATGACAAAAATGACTAATATTAAACATTTTCTATGGAAAATTAGTTGCAGAATGCTCGAATTCTTAAGTATATAAAAATCAATAAAAAATACTCTGAACATCTTCACGAATTCTTACCACGTAATGGACATTTGTAAAATAAATAAATGACACCTCAAAAATAAAAAGCATTAAACATTTTCTAAGGTTAAATTAGTTACAGAATGCTCGAATACTTAAATATATAAAAATCAAAAAATACCATCAATATCTTCACGAATTTTTACAATGTATTGGACAATTTTGATTTGTAAAATAAATAAATGATACCCCAAAAATGACTAACATTAAATAACAATACCGACTGAATATTTGATTGTATTTGCTTCAGTCAAAATTTCCTTTTCTGATTTATACAACTAAAATTTGTTATTATACACCTAATTCTGTTTTTACACGGTAGATTGGTTCCTAAAGAAGTCGTATAAGAAAACCGTGTAAAAAGGACATTGATCATATAGAAAACGAATCGTGTTAAATGGAATAAAGTCGTGGTTATATATGGTTATAAAACATTTTTAATTTGCAAACCGTGGTAAAAAAAAAAACCGTGTAAAAACAGAATTAGGCGTACTCGAATATGCATGAAGGGGACAAATTTGACACAAAGTCAATTTTCAAAGTAAAATCAAACACTTTTACTAGAAAATAGTTGCATAAAGTTTCTGGTATTTGGCTTGGCTGTTCACTTTAACGAAGCATCTAACTTATAAAGCTCATTCCAGCTCAATCAATTAAAAATTCAATCAAATTAGAAATTCCCCACTTTAAGGGAGATATTACTTTTTATCAATATTAATCAGTAGTGGCTATTTGCTTACCCATATGCAGACATTGGATCGTAGGAGTAATAGCCAGTTGTGGGCTGCAGTCCGGCCGAAGTCCATGCACCCATTTCAGTGCCACCCGCCGAGTCCTTCAGGGCGTAGGGATTGCTCTGAAAAAGACGAAACCGAATCACATCAATATGGATATACAAGTAGTATATTCCATCTCCAGTCAGTCAGCTTGTGTTGTATAACAATTGAATATCGAACAAAATCATTTTCCCACAGTCGGCTCAAAAAATTAACAATTTTGTTAACATGGAATTTATAATTTAGCAACATATTTTGCGATGAAACAAAGCGATGAGAGCACAGATCCATATTTTATGGACCGGCTGACGGAACGAAGCGCATGTGGCCAAATTATGGAGTCATATAAAATATCAAAAAATAGAAACGAAGAGAAAAAAATCAAATCCAAAACTATCTAAGCGCGAGCGACAAGTTCGTTATTGTTATTGCCGTTGATTTATAATGCGTGCTGATGTTGTTGTTGTTGTTGTTATTGTTGTTTCTGTTTTTGTTGGTTGTATGAAAATGCTGACGCTTTGCATTTTAATTTTTGGCCAACCACTGCGACAACGGCTGGCCATGGCGTCCGGCAATTTATGCCCTCGGAAAATGACAGCCGGATTTACGAGCAACAACTATTGGCCAGATCCGCGGCGGCCGGGAGGCTCCAGCGGCCAATCTGGTTGGCGGTTACGAGCCGGGCTTTTGTGAGCGCTTGATTTATGAAATGGTATTAACATTTTTAATTGCTTAACATCATGTTCGTCGTTGTTTATTAATTTTTTAACTCGGCTCTGGTACTTTCGCTTCGACGTCCACAGCGACATCGATGCCGCCGCCTCCGAGTGACAAATATATTTATCAATATGACATTTGAACCGAAACCGATCAGGAACAGGTATAGCCAGCACACACATACATTCTATCTACTACAAGTATATGCCCGGGGCATCCGATCCAATCCGATCAAAGGCACACCGACCGCTGCTCTAATTTATGGGCCATGTACAGCAAATGAATTTATCGACTGAACCCCTTTCGACACCTCTCCCGACTGATGGATCTTCAATGCAGCCGGAGCCGGAAGGGAAAGGAAGGGGAGGGGAGGGGTGGAGCGGGGCGGGGCGGGGACTGTTCCGTCTTATCACCAGCAACCAGGTCGAGCACGAGTTCAGACGACGAGACAAACAGATGACACTTTCGTAATTAAAACTCTGCAACGACCGATAAAAGTTGAACGAGCCCGGGGGTCTGCATATTCTTCTAAGTGAAGAGGGTGGGCGGGAGAGAGGGAGAGATAGGCACTGGCTGTGTGAGGGGGACAGAGCATTGTAAGCAAGCGGCAACGAATCAAAATGAATTTCCTGTTGCTGTAAATAACAATTTAAAATGACACTTTGGTGGCTGCGACTGCCGTTGCCGCCTCAATCGCGTTCAACGCTCCCTATTGACTTTTTCCCTCTCATTTTCATCAAATTTCGTAATGCTTTTTATGTTATTTCTCGATTTTCTTGACTTGTCACGAACAGCCCTGCCCCTGTTCGCGACAACATTTCTGTGCATTTTAATTAATCAATTTAAACTAATTTACTGCATAGTCCCAGCACCTTTCCCCCTAAAAAACCTCTCGGGCCCCACATGTTTTATCGTCGCATAGAATATATTTAGAATTTTTTCTTGCACTTTAGAAAGATTTGTACATCGTTTACGCAATTCAAGCAAGACTGCCTGTTCGCCATTATTTAATTAAATGCGAATTCATTTGGAAGAGCCGAAAAACTAGAACAAATACAATTAGAACATTCTTCTGCAATTGTACTCATACTTGATATTCTAATCACTCTAACTAACATTTTCGCTTGTGATTAAACATAATGAGCATATTTATGTAGGCAAGTCATTTGTTAGCCGATCGAGATCTTCAAAACAACTTGTCTGGTCAGATATACATAAGTAAGTTCTTAGTGTCTGATACTAGACAGATACAAAAGTATATGTTACCTAAACTTATCTAATAAAGTAAAATGTATGTTGACCAAATCTATGTAGATTTTATCTATATCCCCACCTAACAAAACTGTGCATGGATAATGTGAGACGTACATCTGTAGAAATGTTCACACAACAATTTTTGAAATTATACAAATAGAAGCTGTCCCATTTCACAAAGTTTGTAGCAAATATTTTAGGACACGGGAGTGCCAACACTTTATCCAATAGCAGATAATTGAAAACAAATTTAACTGGAACATAGTAAGTATATGTAATATTTGCTTTGTAATATAATCTGTAAGCTCACTTCATCACACGATATTTTTCAAGATCAACTGGGCCTGGTCGGAGAAAATCTTAGAATGTGTTCAATTGTTTGACAACCAGCTTTCTTCACAATTACTTAAACCACCTAATTCTGCATTTACACGATAGATTGGTTCCTAAAAATGTCGTTTAAGAAAACCGTGTAATAAAAGACATTGATCAATGATCACATGCAAAATTAATCTTGCTAAATGGAATAAAGTCGTGTAACCATATATAAAATGTAATTTTCAAACCGTGTTAAATCAAAACTGTGTAAAAAATGCCCGTGTAAAAACAGAATTAGGTGTACTTTAATATTGTAGTACTGTAAGCTGCTTTTAAGGGAGAGGGATTTTTTCCCCTCAAGCTTTTTATTCCTTCTAACATTAATTTGCAATTACTTAAAAGTTCTTCTGTTCTTTAAAATATGCCTACTAAAAATAAGTCGACATAAATTTTCAAATGCCATCATCCATAAATTTGTATCGAGTTTATAATGACTCCAGCAATATACAAGTATAAGATAATAGTATGCTTCTGCAAAGTGATAATACATAGACCCATTAGATCATAAAAGTCGATGAAGCTGTTGATAATCAAGTTGCTCTCGAACGAGTTTGGTTTTATCCAGCACATGAATCACAGAAATCAAGGCTCTGGAAATTTATTATTCCAATTGACAGCTCTCTAAGTGCTCTACAAAGCTATACGATTGGCGACCAACTGTTTTGTCAGTTCGCCCGAGGCAAGCTGATATATGCGGAATAATTTAGTAATGTCTTGAGAGAGTCTTGTCTATCCACAGTGTGGCACTCTGGCTGATACAAACGAGTTGTTTGGCTTATTAATTGAAGTTGCAAATTGAAAATATTGTGGCTGCTGCTGTCTGTTTGTTTGTCTGCCCCTTCAACTGTCCCCGCCCGACTAACCGATTGACTGATTGTTCGACTGTCCGCCTGTCCGTCTGTCCGTTTATCCGTGTATCGCTTGTCCCACTAGCTGTCTGTCATTCAAGACTGTGTGCATGTTCTTCGTGTACATTGTTGTTGTGGTCACTTAGAAAATACAAAAGGCGCAGACCCACATACGAGTAAATCGTCCAGAGGGGCTTGTGTGTCGATATGTTTCCACACACACACACATATACATATATATCTGATTGGCATACAGACAGAGCCAGAACCGAGTTTCATCTGTAAGTGTAATTGAGGCCATGAGGCAATATGTTTTGTTGCCAATGATTTTGCCTTTCGTTGAGCAAAATATCGAATTACACAATGGAAGCCAGCACTACATTAAGCAACAAGAAAGGCATCGACGAAATAGAGGTAGAGCGACAGAGAGATGGAGGCAATGAGGGAGGGAGAGAGGGAGAGTGAAGCAGTGCTGGCCCAGACTAAATGAGCTTTCAGTGAGCTTCAGTCAGCCATAATGATAATTCGATTTAGTCCACTGCCTTGACAAGCCGTCAGCGTCGCCGAACCTGACCCCCTTCCCTCCCTTCCCTGCCTCCCTTCCCTTCTTCATTGCCTAACCCGCTACAAACAAAAGCCTTCCTGACTACACAATTAAAGTCATATGTGGAGATAATCCGTTTAGCTGTCTTTGCTTTCACTTACCAGCGGCGAATAGAAGGCGGAGCTGTCCACACCGATGCTCTGGTAGGGGTTTTGATCCGTCGACGGGTAGGGTGTGCCGTAGACACCGACGCTGGCCGCCGGCAGACGCGAATAGCTGGAAAGGGCCAGACGCGCCGAATCGTACTGGCAGGAGCACACTGTTTGTCCCGACACGGGATCGGTCATGATGGGGCGTCCATTCTCGCAGCAGGAGCCTCCGCCAGTCGTGGGCGTTGTTCCCACAGCGTTGGCATCGAGGGAACCACCAGCACCCATGCCGGAGCCAGCGCCTGCTCCAACGGATCCCGCAGCGGCATTTGAATTCTGCGAAAGCGCGTCGGGACTTAACGCATCGGGACTTAATGCGCCACTGGAGCCTTCCCCACCACCACCACCTGCCTGCTGATTTGTTTGGCAGTCTGCAACAGCACCGCCACCCGCTGGGCTAAGCGCCGGCGCGTTTGTCATCACCAGGGACGCGGAGGACGTACCTTCGGCGGCAGCGCCATGTGACGCCTGCGCAGTGCCCGACGATGGCAGGAGCTGTAAGACAGAGAATTAGACAGGAAGAAAAAGAAAACGAGAAGAAGAGAGAGGGAGAGAGCGTTAAAACCTTTCGCCAAATCGAATCACGCATTTGTCTCATTATCTGTATATCACTTAATTCGAACCGATCCCATCCGAACAGAACAGAACCGAACCGACTTCAGCCTTCGATTTAATGTGAAAAATTTGTCACCCTGCGGTAGCTTCTTCACTTTGGAGTTCTCCACCTGCGGACAGCGATTCCGATATCTCAAGCGTTCGCCCGGCCGCGCTGATAACTCGGAATTTATGCCCATCGCCACTGGTTTACATAATTAATGCGTGTTAATTAAAGCGTCGTTATAATTTTTATTTCAGACACCGGCTCGAATCTCGAGGGGCCGGCCAACAGCAAATATTCTTCAATACTCGCCTACATCGCGATAAGCAGGCGAAGAACTCCAAATGAAGACCGATCGGTCATTGCGAGCCATTTCAATTCAAAGGCGATGGGAATATGAGATAGTCCCCCCCTCCTTCATGATATTTGGCCTCTTCACCGAAATAAAGCAGCCAACAGAATCTTAGATTTCGGTTGCAGTATCAGAGCGCTAACATAGACCCTATTTATGCGTTTTAAATGGAAAGCGAATTGCTGGAACTTTAAATGAATGAAAACACATCAATTCCTTCTCTGCTTCCCAATTTTATGGAAAAATGGAGATAACCACATGAACATCATAGCTCTCAGATTTTCAGAAAAACTAGGATGTGGACAGAATAATAGGTGTGAGCATATTTCCTTTGAAAAAAGGCTTGGCTTTCAAAAACCATATATTTTTATTTTTATCAATGAAATTTTTGGTTTTCAATATAAGCATACTTCAGCGTCAAAACATATAATAAAATGATTTTCAAACCATAAAAAAAATTCATAAAACACAACTGTTTTCCGCCGAACAGAATAATAATGAAATTTTGTTATTTATGGTCCCGTTTTATTTTACTGAACTGATTATAGCGCACTTAATACCCTGAATATCCGCCATTATTCTTGCTAATTTTTTCGATTCCTGCAGACATTATGGTCGCCAACTTCTGACAAATCTCTACTGGATTGTTGTACCAATATTTGTATGTACCTTCGATTGAATATACAAGTATGATGACTTCTTTCGAATTTATTTGTAAAATAGTTGCGTTAAGAAAGAAATTAAATAATTGCTGCATTTCTCAATTTTGGTTTTGCCTTATCCTTTTCGTAGTTTACAACCCGAAGAAGAAGGAAGAATAAAGGGGAGAAAGATATGCCAATTGGAATTTTTTAAATTGTCAACGAGTTTTACTAAGAGATGGAAACAAGCGGACTTAGAGCAGGAAGCAGACAGGCAGTTAGGCTGTTTTGGAAGTTAAGTTGTTTCTAAGAAGTTTTTTTTCCACTCTTTTATATAAAGTTTAAAAAATTTCTAAATAACTGCAACTGATTTTGATTTCAAAAACATCAAGATCTTATTGAACAGAATCGAACGTAGCGCACCAATATATTTAGAGAGGGCTATATCCTGCTCAAGTCCATCCATCCACTCATGCAATCATCCTGACTACACAGGGTCTCCCAGGCGGAAGTAAGTATTCGCCATAAGGTAGCCAGCGGAAGATGCTCTAAGGCTACCGATCACAGATGTGCGAATCAACGCTTTTGTGGACAGCCAGGAGTCCATTATCCTGTCGAAAAATGTCCGGTAGTCTAGCTAAGCGTCAAGAAAACACCGTTTTCATCACATCTAATTGGGGGCAATAAATTGGCGGAACAGACCTAGCCCAGACAAGCACAAACAACATTCCCATCCTACTAAGAGCACTCCACAGCAGTTAGGAACACTACGAATGTAAGATAGATAATGGGCAGTGGAAAAGCACTGTCGGCTGTAAAAACTATTATTGAATTATATATTTTTTATGAGAACATTATGATATAGGTATCTAATATCTGATTGACATATTATCTGTCTCCGTCAAAATATTCAGTTCGAAGTTATATCGCAATTGCGCCAAAAGCAGATTGAAACCGGCAGACAGCCGGGCAGATGGTTATTGGGATTTGGATTCATCTCATCATGTTGTTCATATAACATATAACATTAACAAATGCATATTGATATTTATTGATGTGACATCGATATTATATTACAATAGATAATCGATGCGACATCGATAGAACAGTAGATCAATGTAGGGTTGTCAATAACGTACAAAGCATCGATGTTTCACATAATCGATATATCGTCAAGTGTCATCGATTGTATTCCGATAAATCGCAACAAAAAATCTCAATCCATCGATTTTTTGTTTATTTTTGTTTTAATTTATTTAAGTTTGGTTGTAATTCTTGAGAAGAGATCCCCTTTGGTTTTGAAGTTATTTTAAAATGAAGCGTTCTGAAAAAATCGAGTTCTTATTATCAACACATCGATGATGTCAAACACTTTGCTATTTTTTTACAACCAATTCAGATTGTTTAAGTTGGCACTGAGGGGTATGAAAAAATGTGTTTTATAGTCCAACGCCAAATAATTCAAAATGCAAATAAGTTCTTTATCATTTCCCAGTTAACCGTATCTAGAATAGCAATAGTATTTCAATTCCGCTATTTGCTATTATATACTATAAATATTGGCCTTATATTCAGAAGCAACAATTTATCTTATGCTCTAGCAAGTCTCTGCTTTCTTGGAACTATAAATAACCAAACGGTTCAAGTCTTGGCCTATCTACTCAGCAGTTACAACAACAACAACAACAGCCACACTAACACTTCCCTAGGCTTTGCTGCCGGTTGGAAGACTTGCAAATGGCCGCCTCAGCAGCCGAGACAGCTTCTTGATGACGGGTTGCGCAAAAAGGCGGCAGAGAGAGAGGATGTGAGGCAGCAGGCTTACTGGCTGGCTGGCTGGCTGGCAGGCAGGCAGGCACTTAAGATGCTTGAAATAATTTGCCACAATATTATTAGCAATTGACGTTAGGCAAGCTGCCAGGCTGCCAGGCTGCCAGGCTGCCAGCAAGACGGCAAAGTTCATAAATATTGATGCCACATAATGGCCAACGTGTACATGGCCGAGCCAAACCAAGCCAGGCCGGGCCGGGCCGGGCCGTGCCGAGTGGAAGGCAAACGGTTGGGGCCACCACACCCAGAGCGAGGTGCAGCGTAATGGCAAATTTAATTCGAAAAATCGACAGAGCGCCCATTACACGATGCCGCGATAACATGTAAGCGAATATGGTGTTAACATCGCATCAGCGCCAACGGCAGAGGAGCACAGAAGCTGCTCCAATGCATAATCCCGGGCCGATTAAGCCTTGAAACGGCCACAACACACAGCACAGCAGCAGCCATATCTGCACCATCGATGGCTGGCAGCTGGGGCCATCCATTGACGAATTGCCGCAGCTCCGACCGCAGTAATTACGAGTGCCCCGCAAATGGATTTCCTCAAGTGCAGCAACAAATTTCGGTTGATGTCCTCCATTTTGCTCGAGACTCGCCAATGGCATGCGCCGCTTGCTTGGATGCGGAATTAATATGCAAAATGCGCCGGACAGACAGACAGACAGACAGACAGACAGACGGACGACTCAAGTGCCTGGAATCGATCGAAGGTGTGGCTGCCGGACAATGTACCCGAGAGCCCGAGAGCCCAACAACCCAGGAACCCAAGAACCCAAGAACATGTAGTCGCAAGCTTCTGAAAATTGCCGCGGGACCAACTCCTCGTACTGTGTGCTGCATTAATTTCATATTGTTTTTCTGCTCCCTTTTCGCGAAAATATCGATAAACCTATAATTAAGGTGAATACTTTGCTGATGGACAGCAACAAATTGATCGAATGCCGTCGTCGCTGGCGTTGCTGGCGTCGGGGCTGTTTTGAAAAGCGCGTCGGCAGGCGTTGCTCCAGACCCAAGATCGGAGATCGTGGACGGCAGACACCAGACGCTAGACGACAGAGGGCAGAAGCACACAACGGACGGAAGACGGAAGACGGACGACAGACCCAAAGGTCAAATACGCCTCGTGCAACAATTTGTGGCGGCTGTGCAGCTCCCGTTGCTGCGACTCTTCACTTGCCAGTGCAACTTTAAACGCTGCCAAACGCATAATTAGTGAGACCCATTAACATTTACCGGCCAATAAATGCAGTAACCGTAATGTCTGGCCGGGCCAGCCTCAATCTAAATGCCTGCCTCCATAGCAGAAGGTATGGCCTCAGGTGAATTCATTCTGGCAGCCACTTTTGGGTCGCTGTTGTGGAAGCTGGAAACTGTGTCTAGTTCTTCATCCTTCGCTTAGTCATCAATGAAGTCGATAATATCTCCTATATACCACATATAATATGTTTCCAAGTCAATAGTCAATATTTCAAAAAAAAAATGAACTGCTTGTGGGCCAAGAACTTGAGGCATTTGTTGAACCCTTTTTCCCACTAAAAGTGGCATTTAGCCACATTTGCATTTATCATTATTTGCATCAGTTGACAACAAAAAAATTACATATTAAATTACATTTAAATTAACCGAATTTGTAATTTCAAGATAAAATTCAAATTGTAAAAAAAACTGTTTAATTTGTATTCAAATTTAATTTCCTTTTTGTTTACATTTAGGTTAATTTTTTTCTTTATTTAAATTAAAATGTGGGCTATTTTTTGGAAAGCATTTTCTTACTTTTCCCGTTCCCGAATGAAATCATTTTTATTATTAATCCCTAAGCCCAAAGGGTGAAAAGATGGACTAGTTCAGCGCGAATATCTGTAACACTCAGTAGAATGCGTGGCAAATTGCCAAAAAACATATACATTCTGGATCAGTAATATAACTTGAGTCGTCAGTGTACTCGTCAGCATTGTAACAGGGACGCGGAAAGTATAAAAGATAGAAATACCAAACTTTTTCGCTCCTAAATCCTAGAATGCAAAAATAATGCTCTTTTTTCGAATCACTCTGTAATCACTACCTTACCTTATATTTGTTGTTGGTTTGCTTCAACTCGGTACTGGCAGATAAAAGTTCATAAAATTAAAATTGTAAATTTACATGTTCATGTCTCTCTTTATATTTATATATTTTTTGTTTTCCTTATTTCAGTTTTAGATAACGAAATTCAAACAACTTTTGTTGCTCAACAATTTTTACTATTGTTTTAAATATTTATTCCATTTTCATTTCGAAACAGTCGCTTCTATGGTTTTTACTTTATTTTCCAATTTTTTAAATGTATTTATTTATTTATTTATTTCTGGGTTAAATAAGCTCCAAATGCATGTTCATCTGGAGACTCCACACTTTGTATGTAAACTTGATTCATCCGAACACCGAGAAAGTTTACATATCCTCATCATATTATTAAAGTGAGAAAATCACTTTTGAATAACAGACAAGTTTTTTACTTGCTTTGACCGTAGTCTCAAGTTTTATTAACATCGATGCACTATATCTTAGTACCAACATCTTTTAATACACTGTACCCTAAGGCTGTGATCATACTGAGGCCTGACTGCCGTGCCTATCTACCCTACCCAAAGGGTATATAACGTCTGTGAAAAGTATGTTATAGGCAGAAGGAAGCATCTCCGAATACAAGTATAAAAAGAATGATGGGAGAAATCATAAGATCATAGATATGTCCGTTCGCCTATCCGTCGGTATGGATAAACGCCCCCATTTCAACAACGACTAAGAGCCTTTTGGTCATCATAGTAGCACGGGGTTATATTTTTGGGGCTCGACTCTATCAATATTTCTTGTTTGTCTATAAAGATATCCAAAGCAATTTTGATACTTATGTTTTATTTGTTATTGCTTTAACACGTTTCTATTTTTTAAGATTAACAAATTTGTGTCCTTTCATTTGTAGACGAATTTGAAAAAAAAAAAAACAATTCCGCAAAATACTCCGAAATAGAGAGCAAGGCGAATATTATTAAGCATCTTTGTTTATGGTTAAGCATATGGAAATTGCTTTTGGATTTCCTAATTCCCACCTTCTTTCTAAACTTTTTGAAAGTAACAATCTCTCTTCTCAGATCTCAGATTTTAATTATTCGAAATAAAATTTATTTCCATATAATCGTCTTCACTTTTCAAATATCTGAAAATGATTCACCTCGATGGTTGGGCATTGACTTGATCCTTCAGATTCCAAATTTGAAGTTGTCACAACATAGCAAACTTTTATCCAATTCTCTGCGCCCAAGAAAATGAATCAAGAAATAGGTATATAAAACAAATTATTGAAATTAAAAATATTAATAAAAAAAAACTGCTAATTCATAAATGCGTCATGCAACAAACAACAAAAACAACTATAAATTCAACGACGCAAACAATTTCGTGAGGGAAAAAATTCATTTTATTTGGTCCAATGGCAAGAAGAAAAAAAGCAAATTCAACTCCCGATCATTTATCACATTTGAACAAATGATTGATTTGATTTGTGCAGTTTTTTATATACTTACTTATGTATATAAGTGGTATGTATGTGCTGTGAATTTTTTTGCGCCGCATTAATTAGTGAAAAATATGTATGTACACAGACCTTGGGCATGGCTCGCCATAAACTGGTCAAAGCCCAAGGCAAATCTCGAAGGCACCCATCCACAGACACATTCGACCAATCCATGTCCAATTGCCATGTTCCCAGTTGCCAGTTGCCAGTCGCCAGTCGCCAGTGGCCAGTTCCCATAGAGGGCACGACCACTGTTCCAACCAAAGACGACGACTCTCACGCATTTATGAGAATTATGACAACTGATCTGATAGGCGAGACCATATAGGGAGCTCTATGCGCCTGGCAGATTCCACAGCTCCTCGCCCGAATGCATAATTCATGAAGCAATGAGGCGATGAGGCTTCTTGTGACAATGCAACTTTTGCTCCGCTCTGCGTAGAGAGGAAGCAGCGACGCCTTCCTGGCGAAGGAAGCGCCAACCAACAACTTCGCGACCGCTGTGCGACGCTCTGGCATGTGAATCGGATCGGCTCGGGTCGGGTCTAAGTGGGACACAATGCTGCCTTCGCGGCTGCTCAGCAAGGACGGCGGACAGGCGAATGCGGCGTCAGTGCGCAGATAAGATCTCTGGCCATGTGTGCACTACCGCTGCATTTCCAATTTCTTTGAATCGCATTCGCAGCACTGCTGGCAAGCTGAGGAGCTGGGGAGCTACTGCTGACTGCGATCTAATCGCAAGTTGTATCTTGGGCCGCAGTACGAGTTGGTGTTTCATTTCCATGTAGAAACTGGAATGGCCACCCGCCTCCACTCGTCACCGCTGGAGCTGCTGTGCTGACCGAGCCCGACCGAGCCCGACCGAGGCTGACCAAGATGACCAACTTGATAGCGCGAATGCAAGCGCCACATGAGCATGACCGGTAGTTGGCAGACAGTAGCGAATGCCCAAGTGCAGGTATCGGGGAATGCATTGCAATGTAGAGTAGATCACAGATCACTGACTTACTCTGCTCTGGCATTGGTTCTGGCACTGGCTTTGCGCCTCTAAATCATCCTACCATCGATCGATCGAACGCTGAACGATCAACGATCGATTGCCCGCCTTATGCCTCATGCCTCATGCCTGAGACTTGAGACTTGAGACCTCCAGTGACCGCGCTATCACCGTTGTAGAATCTGAGAGCTGGACTGCTGGAGCACAGGCGAGCGACCGGCTTCTGGGCGCGCTTTCATTGAGCTCGCTGCTCACGTAGTCGTGCGCGCATGCGCATGCGCAGGCGCATTCCCACAGCCTGCCCTGAGCTGTCACTTTACGGTTATGAGTTTTATGATTTACGGTCGTAGCAATTGAATTTTATTGATTTTTCAACAGTTTCAACTGGCAATGCGTGCGTGTCTTCGCGATCGCTGCATCAGCACCTCCCACAGTCCCTCCAATCCCCACCGACCCCCACCGACCCCCACCGACCCCCACCGACCCCCACCGACCTGCGAACCAACTCTTTGGCTGCTGTTGGTTGGATTCGGGCGGCATCAGTTGTTGGATTTATTAAATTGGACTCCTCTCTCTCTCTCGCTTCATTTGTGCTTCACACACAATTAACATTTCGACAAGCAAAAACAATTGCACGGCCTCCGAATAAATATCTGTCTGCATTCGAGTACATAATGCCACTGTACGCACACAATTTAGCAATCAATATTGAATTAAGTTTTTGCCCACAGACCCAAGTCTTACTGTCCCCACAAGCTCGCCTTGTGTTTGTTTGCCAATGAGAAACACAATATAATTGTTGGAATGCGCAATAAAAAGCATCCCGTAAAACAAATTTACATATCCATATAAATAGATGACGGCTTCTTCATACTTTAATCATTTCATTTGGATTGACTTTCGCTGAGCTAATGAGGTTCTAATCTGTCAGTAATACTTTGAATACTACTCAGATAGAATATTTAATTTAATGAATGAATATACACACCTTCAAAAGAATATATTTACCCAAAAAAAAAGGAAGAAACAATGCAGACAAATTGATAGCCTTCTCCTTTTTTGCGGTCCGTTAAGAATGAAGTAGTTGCGAATCAGTTTTCGAGGTAGGCTATATTATTATTATGAATGAGGTTTCCAAGTATACAGTTTCTGAAATTGTGCTGAGAGTATATAAACTAAGATTGACGCTGATCGGTTGAAAAATGCGGATTTTTCATACAAACTGTGGGGCCTGTTTTCCCCCCTTTGCAGTTCGAATTTTCCAAAACCAAAACTTTTAGTAGGCATCTACACTATTAAAGAATACTTCAGCTTCCTAGCTTTCACCGTTTGGGCTGTGCGTTGATCACAAATAAATCAGTCAGTCAGGACAAACTGTTTAATATATGTATATAGAGATGGTAAGAAATTGTTACCGATTGAACCTTATAGCAAGTGATTTTAACTAGAATGAATGTAAAGCCACGGCCAGACAATCAAATAGTTTGTACACAAATGCGACTTATATCAAAAGACTATGTCATACTAAAGTAAATTTTTGTTTAATAGCATTCGAGTTTGCGACCGATATTTTTTATTTTTAAAAGAAATGTTTGCAAATTCCTTGTGACTACAGCTTTGACGTTCCAAAAGGTCAATAAAAAAGCTAAAGGTATGGTGACTTATAGTATTATGGAAATTTGACAAATTTGTGAATGGATTGAATGTCTATCGTATTGGGAATGCATTGAAGGGTTTTTATTTTATTCATTTGAAATCGAAACGACAGATGTGAACAGAAGAAAAATCAATATTAAAGAGATCCCAACTACAACGAAAGAATTTAAGTTGAATTTCAATTTTACGACATAGCGGAGCACATTTGTAACATTTGAAAAGGTCAATAAAAAAGCTAAAGGTTTGGTGACTTATTATGTTTGTGAAATTTGACAATTTTGAATGCATCGAATTTTTATTAATTTACTTAGTTTCTTGAAATGTTTTTCATTTGAAATAATTGCAATTTATGCCCATGCGAGTTAAATCGTTGAGCGAAAGTGAAATCGAAACGACGGATATGAACAGATGAAGAATCAATATTAAAGAGATCCATACTACTAACGAAAGAATTTAAGTTTAATTTTAAGACACAATGTTATTGTTTTCAGCCACTACATGAAGATTTATTTAAAAAAAACTAACATCTTTAGAGACCCACCTGTGATGCCGACGGAAAACCGCCATATCCAAATTGTGTATAGGCGGCCATAATGTCACTTTAGATTTGTGTATATTTGCAGTTCTACGAGTGTTTCCTATTTGAATGTTTTTTTTTTCAGTTATTTCAGGCAAGACCCAACTATGCGGTTTGACCTATTTATGGATTGTCACACTATATGTATATTGTTTATTCAGGAGCCAATCCGAGGTACTGCCGCCCAAAAGGCATCGGCTTCAAGCAGTTGTGGGCGAAAACCTCGTCGTCACTTGGCACTTGGTACTTGGCTCTAGACCATAACCATAACCAGACGCACTACAGTTACAATTTCACCGTTGGAAACTGAGGAGCACGCGAAAATGAAATTCTGACTGCGAGTTCAGTTCACATTCATCGAACGACCGACGAACTGGAATGAGCATTTGGATTATCGAGCGTGGCGGCAACTGACGACGACGACGACGATGAAAACAACAACGACAACGGCCACGACCACGACGCCGACATAACCATAACAACGGCAACGGCAACCGCAACCGGCACTGAGACAAGGCTGACAAGGCAGGCAGACACCAGGCACCAGACGAAGACGAAGACGACGATTACGCTGACGATTACGATGAGACGGGAGCGCGCGCTCTCGATGTGCACCTTACTACGTTCGAACACGAACTGGTTGCGGACAGTTGCGTCTCAGCTGGCTTTGCTTGGTTTGCTTGCGACCAGACCGGACCGGACCGGACCGGGGCACGAAAAGCTAATAAGTACGAGCCCCGTCACTCTGGTCTAGTCAGAACTCACACATTCCGTTGCATCGGGGGCTGCAAACGCACTAGAATGGGACGGCACTAGTTTACGGCGCGCACTCCAACTAGAATGCGAGTTGTCTAGACCAGTTTTCCGCTTGCGTTGGAAACCAGTAACGCCTTCCGCTCAGCTCATCACTACTGTGGACGGGTGGTGGGCGAAGTACGTCTGTTGCGCTGGTCTTATCGTTCCAATGCATCACTGCGCTCTCGCACCTCGCTCCTTCGCCAGGGGAGAGCCATTGCGCGACTGTAGCCATTGGAATTGGAAGTGCGTGTGCCACCACCAATAGCAACGGCTCGTGGGACCGCTCGATTCGTGTGTGCGACTGTGTTGTTGTTTGTTGTGTCTCATCGTTTCCTCTTGGCTTCTTCGGCAGGTGCTACTTTTATTATTTCCACTTGAGTGGAGCCAAACAAAAGAAAGAAATGGAAACGAAATGGAAAAACGACCATTAACAATTTATTTTCTTGCTTCCCAAGCGAGGGGAAGCTTTTGTCATTGGCCCCGCCCATTTGTTTTGTTTGGCTAACCGTGCATTTGTTTGTTTACCTTTACCTGAACAATACAATGTAAATACAAGTTAACTTGATAATTAAAATTACTATTCATTATAAAATTGACTGCGGATGATAACATACTATACATATACTCATATGTGATTAATATAGCTTTCCGAATGTTTCATGTAATACTCAACCGATTTTCCGATTGTTAAAAAAAAACAACCTAAACGAAATTCAGCTTAAATTATTTATGACAATTATAGCATCAAAAAAATTGCCTCGCTTATTTCTGATCACTTGAAAACAGTTATGTCTCATCATGATCCAAATAATTTAAGAATAGGATTGCATTATAACGAGATAGCGTTGTGAACAAATTTTTAAATGATTACAATTATTTTATAGAGCAAATCTTAATGGCTATGTGTTTATGTTTAAACTTGGCAATGGAAAAAGAATGTATTCGGCTAGATCCACGAAAATAATTTTTCTTTATAAATTAATTCATTTTCTTTTTAATTAAATACCCAACAAAATTGTTGTATATAATATTTTATAGTTGAAACGTTTTGCACACAGGTAAGATCGGTTTCAAAATCTCAGACTATGGAAATCTTTATACTTTCTGGGTGGTTCCTTTTTATTGACATATTTGGACATCCACATTTTTCTTAATTTAAACTAAATTAAATCAAAATATCCCAATTGAGTCCCTTTTACGTCTTTGTATACCAGAGCTTTACTCTTATCATTAATGAAAATAATAATTCCGAGTCTAATCATGTCATTTTTTTTCAACTCTTTCAATATTTAATAACCAACGAATGCTTAAATAGTTTGAAATATAAGACAAATTTCTCCGAGTACTTTCTCTTCGAAAACGGTAGGGGTATTATGTTTTTCGGGGCAGCTAAAATGCGTTCTGCCGTGCCTTCGTGTTTCTGCAGCAGATTACACATAATAATGTTAAGTGAGAAAATTGGTGCTATAAAATCAAGGCAAAAAGGTATCTACTAAGCCTTCGAAGGGAAAACACTATAGAATGTCCCGAGAATTCCCGTTGGGCACCTAACTGAAAACTTTAACGTGTTTTCTATGATGCTACCTAGCATGGCAATGGCAATTCTTTGAAACACAAATTCTTCAAGCTTTGACAAAGTTTACAACAAATTTTGTCAATGGACCCTTCAATATTTTTAGTGGCATTTTACGAGCTGTTTTTTTTACGAGGCTCCCGCATCACGTGGAAACTAATACGCCGCCTGCCCATTGAAAGTCACAAATGCATTCCGGGAGTGGTCTGTCACTTGACTGTTGTTTTTGTTGTCTCTGTGTTGAAGGTAACTCACGGCATCTTCCCACCACTCCGTGTCGCTCGGAGCTTAACACGCGTGTGCCGCTCGGTTTCTTTTCTGCTGTCGTTTACTTTTTATGATAATGTAATAAAAGCGAATTAACCTATAAAACTGAAAAAGTGTGACTTACATGATGGAATTGCGCCATAAGGTCTGGGCGTGTCCTCGCACACACACCATACACACACACACACACACACACACACCAAACCTACACGCACTCACACAAGCATATAATTTATAGACCCAGGGCAAGACAGGCGGTACCACCCACAGAAAAAATAAGTAACGGCAACAATAACAAACAAAGAACTCCATATGCTAAAGTCCAAAGCAGCCGACTGTTATATACATTATAAAAGACCCTTAGACAACTCAAATCAAACAAGATAGAACGCTACAGTCGAGCAAGCCCGACAGTAAAATAGCCTGTACTCTCCACAAAAAAAAAAAAATTTAAAAAAAAAATAAAAAAATAAATTAAATTATTAAAAAAAATGAATGAATGAATTAATTAATTAAATTAAATTAGAATACATGTTTATGTTCAGTTTAAACAGCATACATTTACATCACGTACCTATGCGTGTTTATATGCGTGTATGTATGCAGCACAAAGTTGAACAAAAGCAGCAACAACAACAACAGCTGCGGGCAGCGCTGCCGACAGAGCTGCAGGCAGCGCATGAGCAGCGATTTTACTTATGGCTCTTTCTTTCTTAAGAATTGACCTATCATGATGAAATTTGGCACACGGACACATTAGTACTAACTGGAATTGCGGGGGAGTGGGGGGGTGCATCGAAAAAAAACTCAAACTCGTACTTTCTCGGTCTTAGGAGAATATGGAAACCAAGTTTGGTTATTCTAGCTCTTATACTTTCTGAGATCCTTGCGTTCATACGGACAGACGGACAGACAGACGGACAGACGGACGGACGGACAGACGGACGGACGGACAAGGCTATATCGACTCGGCTTCTCATCCTGATCAAGAATATATATACTTTGTGGGGTCTGCCACGCCTCCTTCTGTGTGTTACATACATGCGCACAAAACTAGTATAGCCTTTCACCCTTTGGGTACAGGCTATAAAAATTAAAATTAAAAAAGAAACAAATTAATAGAAATTATAGAACAATAGCTGCTAAATGTAATACGTATGTATATCTGAGAAGTGTATCGCGCTAGCTTACGCTGTATTCAAAAAAAACAAAAAGGCTCATCCATTAAAAGTATTAAAATTATAAGATAAAACTAATATTTCTTTATACTCTTTGATTACAGGTTATATGAAGGAACAACAATTTTGAAACAAAATTCGCTGTTTTTTTACAGTTAGCGCTCATTATTCCTACTATTAAAAATATGCCTTATTTTTTCCTGGAAGATGTTGATTTTAGAATGTTTTTCGCATGATTAAAGACCTAAATAAAAAACACACAAAAAATAGTGATACTAGTTATAACAAGAGAGAACGCTACAGTCGAGCAAGCCCGACAGTGTAATACCCTGTACCCAGGTAAACTTCCGTCACTGAGTTATATGCGCCCATAGCAGCAGTAAAAAGAGGAAGAAGAAGAGCGAACTTGTTGCTGCAGTTTGTGGGGGTTGTACTGGTGAGAATTTGTTTCGCTAATAACTTTTCTTAGAATTGACCGAATTTAATAAAATTTTGAATTTAGATATTTATTTATAAATTATGTGTGCAAAGTTTGGTTGAGGTACCATTTGAAATGTGGACGCTATTGACGAAATTCTGCAGCGGGGGAAGGGGGGGAAAATTAAAAAAAAAAAATAAAATCGTCCTTACTCGGACCTAGGAGAATCTGGATGCCAACTTTGGTTATTCTAGCTTTTATAGTTTCTGAGATCCTCGCGTTCATCCAGACGGACGGACAGACGGACGGACATGTCTAGATCGATTTCTCTCGTCATGCTGATCAAGAATATATATACTTTATGGGGTCGGAGATGCTTCCTTCTGTATGTTACATACTTTGCACAAACCTAATATACCCTTTTTACCCTACGGGTACAGGGTATAAAAATAATATATGTATAACTATAGTTCTGAAGAAATACAACGCGGCCCTGTTTCGATCTTCACGACCAATTTTAATTAAAAGAAAAGCAACTCAATCTAAAAAGCTGAATCATTCTTGAAGGCAGCTTTTTACCAAATCACTGAGTAGGATCGAGTTCTCAAAGACATCACCGCTATTAAGAAAAACTAAAACTGAAAAACTAAGGAAATGAAACAATAAATTAAGTGTTAAATACAATCTTCGATCATTTTGCTATACATATATGTTTATACTAGTAGTTATGCACACAGTCTCTATTTTATTTGAGATACCGAGGACTTGAGAATTGCAGTCAAATATAATGTTAAAACAGAAACTGAATCATTGAGAGATGAAGTTTTAAATTCAAGGATTCTTTTGGCTCCTATTTTGGATCCAAAATGTAATTAAAATATTAATCCGTTTAAGATAGATTTATTTATAAATAAACAACAATTTTAACCAAAAAACCGACTTCAAACTCCAAAAATAACAATAATTCTTCCAACATTCTTGAAAAAGAATAAGCAATTATTTTTTTAATTTTTATTGCATATTAATTTGTGTTGTAATAATTTGAAGTCGGTTTTTCTTTTTGTTCAAATTGTAATTTATTTTTTTTAATTTTTAATGAATCTGAAGTAGACTAATTGCCTGAATATGGGTAGAGCTACTAGATGACGCAAATATCGGGATATTCTATACCCCAACAGATTTATATAAATTGTAAATGTTAAATTGTAATTAAGACTAAACACCTAGTTTAAGTTGTATTTATATTTAACTATAAGTTT